TATAGATTATAATATTAAAATAGGCATATAATTTGACAGCTCCATTAAGAAGTGGGAACTGGTTAATTATTGCATGGTAAAGATATACATTCCTGTACGAAAGAAGGATGTTTCTATCTCTGCAATATGTGACTCTGTAAATGAAGCTAGCAATAAGTTTCAGGAACTATAAGGATGCATTAGATAAAATTCATGCATGAACAGCTTCATCAAGTACTTAATAGCATCAGATTTTTATTTCATTTTGAATGTAATAAAAATAATTTGAATACCCTAATATTAAACTGATAAAAGTTCTCAATTATACATAAAAATTATGATGGTTTCCTTAAAATAAGTTTTTCCTTTATATTTTAGAAAATAGTTTGTAATGAATGAAAAACAAGTTTGTTTAAATTTCTTGGAGACATGGATAATCTCCTGCCATTAACTGTGAAACAGTTTCTGGAAAACATGGCACTATAGATGCATTCCGTGACAAGGTTTTTAGCTTACTCTACTGGAAAAAAATGTAGCAATTCATTACTTGCAGTTGCTGCTAGCTCTCCTTGTTCTTCTGGAGAAGGAGTATTAGTCAAGTAAGACTGTATTTCAAATGTGAGTTGTGTGTCTCTTTCATCATCTTGGTTTGTGACTGCTTGAGCTGTTCACCTTGCTAATAATTTTCCTTTTCTTCTTAGGGCATGAGACTGGAAGCTATCAGAACTGCTATATGAAGCCATCATTGATGCAATTTCCAGCTGTGGGCTGATGCTCTTCAGATGGAGGAATGGTTATTTGCTTCTCCATTTTCTTAATTACCTTAGTTATTCTGTAGGTTTTCTCTTTTAGGGAACTGGTAACACATCAGTTTCACTTGATTACTCCAGGGGAAGTGGTTGTTAAGCCTATGAAAAATATTTTGTTTCAGAGCTTTAGTGCCCTTATCGTCACCTGGATCCACAAGCATTTTTAATGCCTGATCTTATGAGTGTAATGTATGACAATGTGACAGCTTCATTACTCATGAAGTCACTAAACTATTGAAAATGTTTTGGAAATTTGCATAATTATGTCATTGTTCCAGTTCAAAGGTAGAGAATCAGGAATTTGCAGACCTGATTTGTTTCAGAACACAGTTCATTTCCCTCTTCAGATGTAGTATACTTTGAAACATTACATGTTCCAGCAAGTTTGTATTTCCTTCTGTGAGTGAGTCGTTTTGTAATTTGTGGTATTTCTGGTTGGTGGTCTTCAGTAGGTTTTTGCTCAACAGGCTCTTTCACCTCCAATGAAAAATCAGCATCAAGATTCAGAGCTTCCCTTACACATTCATCTTCATCCAACTTTCACCTTCTCTCTCCTTTGCTTATTCTGAAAGTTGAACAAGCACTACATGATAATTTTGGTTCTGAACTTCTTCCTGCATTAAATGTCCCTTATAATGAAGAGTATGAAAACCTCCTTGCACTTTTTCAAAGGTTCCTTTCGGTCAGATACTTTGGACATGCCATCAGTTATAAGCAGCATATTCAATGCATGTGCATTCCAATGGTTCCATTGGAACTTCATAATTCTACTTGTCTTTACTGCTACTGCCCCATGATGAGTGGCATAAAAGTACTTGTTCCCAATGTTGGTGAAAAATTCTGCCAGTTCTGATCTCAAATGGTTGGCCATGATTCAGAATCTTGAGGAGATGGTTTTACTGACAATGGAACAACATGAGGGCACCAATCACTGTTAATATAACAAACACATGGACCTAAATAATGTGTACCAAGTAATTTGTCACATCAAAGAACAATATTTTAGTTGTTCTGTTTCTTGAATGACAGCCAATTTTTACATTATGGTATACCTTGTCAAGTGTATTTTTCCTAAGGACACTTTCAGAAGGAAGCTGCAATGATGGGAAATTCTTTGCAAAGAAATAACTGAATTTTCACTTATCATGAATGAGTTCATGTCAACAGCAAATCAAATCAAGAAATCCTCAAATTGCTCTTCTGTGGTTCTTGCTGGAGCAAATCTAGGCCTAGATATAAAGAAGCCAACAATTGTGGGTTGCTAAAAGAAATCACATAAAAAAAGTAAAATAACCCCAAGTAAAAATTACATAATTTTTTTTTATCATAAATTATGTTTTTATCTTTTAGGCAGGCTGCATGGGTCACACTGCAATGTGAATATGTATAGTAGGTTTAATCATTTTTATGTGATTGTTTACAAATGTGTGTAATCTTACATATTAGTAAGGTACTACTAACTTAGAAAGTGATTTACTACAAGATAACTTATCATACATGTATTGAAAACAACAAATTAAAACCTAAAGAATATTAAAAAACACATTGCACTGATACAAGATACATTAAACAAGATACAAGCATTCAAACATATAAATATCATTTGTAGATCTACATATCCATTATCAGTAGTTTATTTATTATTCACACCTGATGTTAAACCCTAGCTAAAGTTTTGTTAAGTATATGGCAAATGTGTTATAGTTAGCCTGATACGTGTTTATATCTACCCAAAGAGTTAGACCTATGTGCGCTGCAGCTAGGCCTAGTAGATTTATATAGACTATATAGACATAGTAAAAACTTTACAGAACTAGATTAAGGGAATAGGCCTACTAAGATCTACAATCTCTACCATCAACAATGTAGGCAAACAAAATTAACATATGAAACCAATAAACTTTAGGCCTTGATCTACTTACATTAAACTGAAGCATGCTAGAAGTGCTCTTTATGTTATGCATATTTTTCAAATGGTCATTCATGGTAATTGTTGCTGTTGATAGTGAATACCACTGAATATCTCTCAGGTGAAATGATATGTTGCTGTGACCATCATCTTCATCACACTGATAAGTACTTTTGAAGTTCACGTCAGAGTAAACTCTGTCCTCAAAGAGAAGTATTTAGAATCATGGGGGGAAGGGGGGG